TTTGATGATAAGTCAAGAAAAGTAAGATTTACAAGATTAAATATTGAATTAGGAATTGGACCTTGAAGTTTATTGTTTTCCAAATAAATATATTTTAGTGATTTTTGTTGAAATTGATTTATCTGACCTTGAAGTTGGTTATCATTAAGACCTAGTGAAAGTAAAGATGGTAAGGTGTAAATCCAAGATGGTATTGTTCCATTAAGTAAGTTATTAGCTAAATCTAGACTGACTAACTTTGAAAATCCACTTGCATGAAAAGGAATGGAACCAGAAAGTTGATTCTTTGCAAGAGAGAGGTCACTAAGTTGTGTGAGATTGGTAAGTGATGATGGGATCAAGCCATTAATATTGTTACCTAACAGATTAAGTTGTGATAAGTTCCCTATTGATGCTGGAATGGAACCTTGCAAGTTGCATGACAAAAATAAAAACTTCAATGACTTTAAGTCACCTATTGAATCAGAAAGTTTGCCTAAGCAAAGCATGTTTAAAAGAGTCAACTTTTTGAGTGGACTGCTCAAATTGAACCTTGGAAGACTAATAGCGAGTTGTCGTCGGCTTTCACATAAAACAAGCACCTTAAGATTTGGAAACTGGAAAATGTTATTTGGAAAATTTCCTCCCATGTCACACTCAAAAAGAATGAGATCCGTCAAAGAAGAAGAAAGATTCAATATGTAACGAGGATCCACAGATGACATGTTCACTCTACCAAGGGAAAGTTTTCTTACCTCACTTAGGTTCTTAACAAGACCTTTGAAAGCAATTGGATCAAATTTCAACTGGAATTTCAAGCTAGATTCCTCTTCCTGCAAAGAATCAAAAGGAAACTCAACACGAGAGAGATCCAGGGAAACTAACTTGGAAAGGTGGGAGATTTCTTCAGGAACTTGGCCTGAAAACACTGAATTAGAAAGGTCAAGATGCTTTAAGCTCGCAAACTGACCAATTTCCCTCGGAATTTTAGAATGCTTAAAATCATTGCAGGCAAGATTGAGGGTTTGCAAGCTTTTTATGAGAAAAAGGCTGTTGTTGGAAGGGAATGAGCCATGAAGGCAACTGTTACTGAGATCAACGCCAATTACATGTCCTGTGACATTATGACAAGTAACCCCATCCCACGAGCAGCAGTCTATACCTTCCTTCCATGACTCTGTCTTGGGATAAGGTGTGTCATAAGGTTGTTCACAGGACCATTTAAAAGAAGCACTTTTATTGATGGAAAAAGAACTCTTAAATTGCAACAAAGCTGCAGCTTGCTCGTGAGAGCAGAGCTGTGTTGCTGAGTAAGAAGATGATAAAGTTGTTGAAAAGGATATGAAAAAAAAAAGCAGAAACACTAATGGATTGAGCTTCTGTAAGAACCTCATATTTTCTCTCAGAGTTTGGGATGATGGATTCCTATGAGTTATATGAATGGTTATACAAGAGTATTTATAGAGCAAAAGGAATCATCCCTGACCCTTTGATTATTGATACACAGCCACAGAGAGCTAGGATCATTCTGGGATGCATTCGATTTGGAAAACCTTAAAAATTTCTTTGTCACGGAGACCAAAAGATTCCTATCTCCACTATCTTTGTTACTTATTCCGATCTGTCTTAATTTAGTCATGGGGACCAAATGGAAATTTTCTTGTTCCGATTTTTGTTTGCTCTTTGCTGCTTTAATTTCTTCATCTATCTCATTCAATGTAGACTTTATTTATTATCTCTCAATCTAATTGACTAGTCTACAAAATTTCATATTCCATTCACTGGCCCACGTTACCAGTGGAAAACTAACATTTTCTATGGTAGAAAACAAGTCCGCCCGGTGGAATAAATAAGAGGCTGTGATACATTGATGAACCGAGTCGGAGCGGTCTTTGGAATCTACAAAAATTTCAACAAACAACCTACTGTATTTATTATTATAAATAGGTTGTTTTTTTTTTAAAATTATATTAAATTATAAAATAAAAATTATTAAATAAAATAAATTTTTTATAAAAAAATTAATTTTATTAAATAATTAAAGTTGACAGACTGCATAATATTTTTTGTACTAATATATGAAGAACTAGAAGAAAATTGATAATCATGTCTAACCTTTGGTGACTTGATGGTCACCTTCTTGAATGGGCATGGTGATATAATAGTTTACGTTCGAATCTCAAACTTTATTTCTTTTTCCTTACAAATTC